ATATTTAAAAAAGAACAGTTGATCAAAATAACATATAGTAAAAACTCATAGCATTTTTGATACAGTACAGCCCATTGAGTCTTGATAATCTAAACAGGAGAGGTTACAGTTGTATCTAAACCTGCCATGTTCTACTGTACCCTCAACACCATACCAGCTCATTTCTTAAATAATTCAGCAAAATTCCCCCAGAGACAGAAATCATCACATTTTAAGGGGAAATCATCCATATATTGCTTAAAGATTGCAAGAATAACATCTGAATTTTTATAGCACAATTTAAACGATTTACTTTTTTTTTTTTTTTGGTCTTTTTGAGACAGGGTATCCCTGTAGCCCCAGCTGTCCTGGAACTCACTATGTAGACCAGGCTGGCCTTGAACTCACAGACAACTGCCTGCCTCTGCCTCCCGAGTGCTGGGATTAAAGGCCTATGCCACCACGCCCGGCTATGATTTACTTTTTTGATAAATAAAGCAGAGTATAATAGAAAAAAGTAAGTTAGTTTCCAGTAATAGCCAAAACTGTTTAAAATTGTCTTCCACCAACAGGTTACCTGGAAATAAAAGCCTGTTGCAATAAGCAATATTTCAACCAAAGTTGCTACTGTTCATGCTGGGAAGTTCACCCCTGTAGAGGTAATGGTGTGCTGTGTATAAGGGCTGTCCATCACAGCTTTGGGTCACCGCAAAGTACATTATCCCATCCCCCATAATAAGTCCGGTGAACCCCAATAATCAATTTACCTGAAACCACACTGGCAAATTTTAACTGATATTTCACTCAGGTAAAACAAATTAACACTGGCAAACTTTAACTGATATTTCACTCAGGTAAAACATAAATTAAGAATTGCCTTAACTGATGTTCCTTAATTTACATTATTAAAAGGTACACAGTTCATTACAACGTAATTCTGGTTCAGAATTACACTTAAGATTTTTTGCTTAGCTTTAGTTTTAGTTAGCTACAGGAATCTTTCACATATCAGGGCCAGAGAGATGGCTGCTCTTATAAAGGACCTGGGTTCAATTCCCAGCACCCACATGGCAGCTAACAACCGCCCATAACTCCAGTTCAGGGGAATCCGACACCTTCTTCTGACCTCCATAGGTACTGCACAACACAGGCATACTTACATGCAGGCAATACACTCATACACACAAAATAAAAATAGATAAAATATTTTTTAAAAATAATAAATGAAATCTTAAAAAATCATTCATAAATCAAGTTCTTAATTATTCAGTAATTTGTCAGCTCAGACACATTCAGGCCACAGCTGCGACTACAGAATGGGTGCCCTGCCTCAGTGCTTTGGACAGACAAAATCACAGCATTCCTAGCAGACAAATCATCTGTGGCAGTGTGACATACTGCAGTGCAGAGTACAAACACGGATTCATATGTTAGCTTGCTTAATTATGCCTCAAACCCTCAAGACTTTGTTGAAACTGAATCATTGTATTCTTATGGTTTTTAATACCAAGAACTCAAGTTTCAGGGGCTAATGTCTAATTTATACTTTAAAGTAAGTGGTGGAGCAAATATACTATCACTGGGGATGAATACATTCAGACTTTAAGACTGAGTTCAGAAGATAGGTGATATAAAATAGCCTAACAAAGTCTGAGAATTGCTTGTAAACACAGATGGTTCTTTGGAGCTTTTACCAATGAGTTTGTCAGTGAACATTATTTATATATATATTGGAGATAAGTGAAACTTACTAATCAAATACTGAATGCTTATACTTTGCTGGGATTTCATTGTGCCTTCTCCTACCACATGTCTTAAAATAAGAGTTCTAAGTAGTTCTCTCTCTGCTACATTTTGTATATTATAAATATATATGCACACATTATATTAGATAGACATAAAAATGTGGTGCTGAGGGTTAAATCAAGGATGTCTACATGCTAGGTAGGCACTCTAACACTGGGCTACATCTCCAGTCACATCAAGCATGCATGTGTGCCTGTGTGCATGCATGGATTTGTTTGTTTTGTTTTGGTTTAGAGACAGGGTCTCGGGCAGTCCAGGTTGGCTTTGAACTCATAATGTAGCTAACAATGACCTTGAACTCCTGATCCCTCTGCTTCTGTCTCTGCCCTGTGCCCCCATCCCCACCCCACCCCACCCCCCAGATTCCCATACAACCAATGTAGAGATTTATAGGTGTGCATCAACATACCTGGATGGAGTTCTTTTGTTTTTTTTTAACTTTTTTATTATTTTATGTGTATGTGTGTATTGCCTACATGTAGGTAAGTGCACCCATGTCGTGCAGTGCCCGCGGAGGTCAGAAGAGGCTGGATCCAGATCCCCTGGAACTGGAGTTACAGGCAGTTGTTAGCTGCCATGTGGGTGCTGGGATTCGAATCCGGGTCTTCTGCAAGAACAGTGTTCTTAACTGCTGAGCCATCTCTCCAGCTCCAAGGATTTCTTAATATACCTATCCCTTTGCTTGTCTTTGAAGGAAAGGCAATGTGCCCAGTGAAGCAGCAATGTTATGTAAAATCTATTTCTAACAGCATAAAGTGAAAGAATACCAATTCCTAACACACCATGTTAATGATGGAAAGAAGAATGCAGTGGTTGTGATTCCATGCCCCTGACTCCCAAAGTAAATATGAAATAAAAGTCCCAGAGTAGACTTTTATCACTAAGGTAGTCATTAATTTCAAATAAGTCATCATTATGTTTCATAGTTTGAAATGAAGATTATAGGTTAAAAGTTAGGGCCAGTAAAATAATGTCAGATTCAAGTTAATTTTGAAGTCTTCAAATATGAATATGATTTTTATATTACTTATTGCCAAAAGTATGATGGTCACCAGGTCTCTGGTGGTCAATGGGGCTCTGTTGTCAAGATCACGGTCTTTGGAATGGCAAACCACCACTTACTTGATATGACCTTGACAACGTCACTTAACCCCTGGGAGCTTCAATTTCCTTGTCTGTTATTCTGAAGATAACAGAAAAGCACTTATATAATGCCTGGCACACAGCAAAAGAAAAACAATAACAGTTCTTAGTACCGGTGGAATGTCCTCAAACTGCACGTGTAAAAGAGGTGTGAATCAGAAATAGCTGTACAATCTGGAATACTTTACTAACAAAAAGCAACCTAATGGTCATACTTAGTTCTTTTCATAAATAGAAAAATCACACTCATAGGAGGAGAGGTAAATACTGTAAGAAAGACACACAGAAAGCAAAACAAAGGCTGACAAGATGGCTCAGGAGGGAAGGGGCTTGCTACCAAGCCTGACAGCCTGAGTTTGATCCTGGGACCCACACAGTGGAAGGAGAGAACTGACACCTATAGGTTGCATTCTGACCTCCACATGTGCATAATGGTATGTGAGCACCCCCCACCCCCAACACACAATAAATTGACAAATGCAATTTAAAAGTTTTCAATAGCAAACAAACAGCTGGCCAGCTACTCATATGAACTCACAGCAATGTTGACAGCATGCATAAGTCTTATGCAAGCTCAAGGGGATGAATCCACAATGGAGAACGTTTGGGGGTTCAAGTTAGACTCCATAGGCTTTATTACCCAGAGAAAATACATTGAATTAAGTGGGGGTGGGGGGGATGTAGGGAGATGTAGATGGGAGGGGGGATATAAATGTTATCAAATTATATTGTCTGGAAATCGCAAAAAATTCAATAAAAATGCTAAAAAAAAAAAAAACAAGAAAGAGACAAGAACCTAAGCAAAACAAATACTTAGAACACTTAATGAAGTACCATGGCCAGAGGCATGAGGAAAGGGTGTCAGCCTAGAGCACCATGTCTACAGTCATCTTTGACAACCCATGCCAATGTTACTTCACAAGACAGGAAGATGAACAAACAAGTTCCCCAAGCTGTGAACAGAAATGGGAGTAAGTTCACCTTGTGTCCAGTGAGGAGTAGTAGAACTGAACTTACTGCTTTTCAGAAATTAAAACCAGACCTCTTTCAAGTTTACTTGGTATCACAAAACAAACCAAATATGTTGATTAAGAAGATGCCACACATTTAAGATTTGTCTTTACTTCATTCTAAGCACCTTCTTCTAGTATTGACAAAATAAGTATGGAATCAGAGGCATTTTCCTTTGAATTCTATCCTGATTAATCATCTTCAAATAAAAATATCCATTATAGTTGTAACATTTAAGAGCCTTAAACATGCTATATAAACTATTTCCCTATCTAGAAAGAAGTATAAGGAATTGCTTCTAATTTGTACTTACAGGTACAGAGTTCAAAGACTGAATCTAATGCTTTCTAGATATTCTCAATCACTTCTTCAATAGGCTTCATTCAGTCTTTACTATAGAGAGCAGTCTGCGCCCTAAGGACTAAGGACTCAGCTTTCAACAGAAACGGTCTCAATGTTAGTGAAGCTTATCTACAATGCGATGCTACAAATAAAGAAAGAAGCGATGGGCATATCAAGTATTAATATTATGAAAATAAAATATGGGTTCTGTGATATGGAGTAACTAAGAAACTATTTCAAACTGGTTGGACAAGAAAGACTGATCATGACACTTCACAGCGATTCTCCGTTAAGACTGAGATTTGCTGCAAAAATCTATGGTGAATTTCGTTCCTCCTGTTTGCCAGTTTCTAACAAATGAACAATACTACCAACTCAAATATTTTACATATGAATCAAGACACTTTCCAGGCTAGGAAATTAAAATTTAATGAATTAATAATTCATCACCTTGCCCATAAGTAATCATCATATGTAATAAAATAGAAACAATAGCCACCAATAAACATTTTACCTCCAAATGTCATTTTCCACACATTCATAAAGAACTTTCATAACAAAAGAGATATGTAGAAAAATATGAGCAAGATTCAGTTTTTATTTATATTCCTTTTATTTACCTATTATTTTTCTAATATACAAATAGGACAATTTAAAAATATTTTTCTTTTACTAATAGTCAACATAATTCCAACATAAAAGATTCAACATTAACTCACCTGTGCCTGTACACAGCGCAGAAGATATATCAATTTGAAGCCAAATCCAAGAGAAATCTGAAATGTGAAAATAAGCAAACATGAGTGAAAACTGCAGAATCCCACCGCATTCCTCAGAGCAGATGCAAATTTTACAATCCATAAACCACTAATATTTGTTAATCACCATCAATGTACAAATGCTATTCATTAGTTAACAGGCCTGCATTAAATCGCACAGTAATCCAAGAGGCAGACTGGCTGCAGTGCTACTTCGGGGTGTACAAGAGTGTGTACAATGCACATGGCAAGGTTTTTCAGTGAATGATGTGTCTCCAGATTGTGAGTTCTCTTTGCCACACAGCTGCTGTCCCCAGCATACTGGCAGCTGGCAGCCGAGGTGGCCCTGACCACCCATTCCCGCACTGCAGGTCTAGGCCAACACAGGGCCTAGCACACTGTAACACACCACAGTACATGTTTGCTGAGCAAATAAATAAAATTCACATAATGACCTAATATGCCATGCTCATGGTTTGCCAATATAAAACTGAAAGGCTTAAAATTGCTGAAATTAAAAAAAAATCAATGTAATAACTAAAAGTACAATAATAACGGAAGAATTTGCTGTCTGAAGAAAGGTCTGTCAGGTAAAGATGACACTGTATGACAACTATATAACTGACAAGGAAACAGTGCTGGGAAGGGAAGAAACCTTCACTACAATGATGAGGTGAATGAAGGGCTCAGCTTCGGGCCAGCGGCATTTTCCTTCGTCCTCTTGCTGCACCAATGCAAGTCTATTTCCAGATACATACTGACACACGGAGACAGGAAATCCCTACTATGATGCCTTATCTATGTTTACTGCTACTGTGCATTTTATAAATGCAAGAAAAACTGATTGCCTCTAGTTATGCAACTGAGTCTCTGCCTCTTAGAAAAACATTACATAGCGCTAGATTTAGCTTTGGGGAATGCTTTACAACTGAGTCATGAGAGTTTCTTTTCTTTTAGGTAACTTCAATCTGTAATAACTCGCACTTTGGGCTCCTTACCAAAGGTAGTATCGATTTATTATTCAAATGACTGTTTTTCTAGGACACTGGAAACATCTGACTTTATAACATACAGGTTCTACAGAGGAGAAAAACTGACAAAGATGCATCTTGATTTTTACCAGAACCTGACCAGTCTTAAAAATCATGCATGGGGCTGGAGAGATGGCTCAGCAGTTAAGAGCACTGGCTGCTCTTGCAGAGGACCTGGGTTCAATTCCTAGCACCAAAACTGTGACTAACAACCATCTGTAACTCCAGTTCCAGAGGACCCGAGACCCTCTTCTGTCCTCAGAGGGCATTGCACAACATGGGTGCACTTATAGACATGCAGGCAATACACGCATAGACAAAAAATAGTAAATAAAAATAAATTTTAAAAAAATCATCATATGTAATAAAATGCAATTGGGGTATCAGAAATAATTCATGGGACATAATAGGAAGTTTATATGCAAACAAGTTATCACAGTAAAATGACTGGTTTCTGTTCAAGTGATAAAGGGTTTGTACCCAGGAAGAGCTCCTAGCATTCATTAATTAAAAAAAAAACTTAATTCTCTTACAATATTATAAAAAAAACTTAATTCTCTTACAATATTTTTTTAATATTTTACTTATTTTTATTTTATGTGTATGGGTATACTGCTTGCATGTATGTAAGTGCACCCGTGTCATGAAATGCAATCAGAAGAGGGCATCGGATCCCCTGGAATTGGAGTTATAGACAATTGTTAGCTGCCATGTGGGTCCTGGGAACTGAACCCCAGTCCTCTGTAAGAGCAGCCAATGCTCTTAACTGCTGAGTCATCTCTCTAGCCCCATTCAATATTCCAAAATAGATGTGTGTGTGTATGCCACCTGTGTGTGAATGCACACAGAGGACAAAGGAGGTCAGCAGATTCCCTGGATCTGGAGTTATAGGTGGGTGTTCTTGGCCCGTTGAGTGCTGGGAAATGAACTGGGGGTCTCTAGAAGAGCAGCAAGTACTCTTAACCACTGAACCATCTCTCTAAGAACACTTAAGACCACTAAAGTTCTTAAACTATTTCTTTAAGGTAAATAATTTCTACAAATGCACCTCAACCCTGCACTTTCATCTTATGTAAGAGCTCAACTTACTTTTAGAGTGGCAGCAGCTAAGGGAAGGGTAGTTCTAGTACCAAATGGTGGTGTGAATTCATGCCAACTCCAGAGCACTGAAATACCAGGACTGAGCCAATCCTATGCGTAAAAGATTGCTGAAGGCAGGAGAGGAAATGAGTTGATAAAAGTAGGGGTTAGGAACAGTTACACTCAATATTTCATTCTATTTTGTTAATGTATGGTTGTAAACAAATCTAGAGAAAGCATAGTAACTTGGGAAGAAAAAGAAGTGAGCATTGTAATATTGTCAAAATTTTAAATTGACTGTAAGAATAAGAAAGGGGCCATTCTTTTCTCTTTGTATCACAACACAATGACAGGAGCAAGCTATCATCATTGGATGCTTATTCTGAGAGCACTGGGCAGAAGGCTTTGCCTGAGGTCTTGGTTCAGTCTGCAGATCCCTGAGGAGTCAAATCCTTTCTCTAAGCTGCAGAGCTCACGCACTAGTAAGCCCGCCAGATCGCACGGTCATACTTGCTAGATGGTCATGGAAGGATGCTGTTTTGATAATGCTATCATTTTTCCTAACTTGACAAGAAGATGGCAGTAATGCAAGCCCCGCCCCCACATCACTGAAAACTGCCTCCTTAGGTACAGTATTAACAAGAACAACAAAGGCACACTGCTCCATCCTGCCCCCAGCACATACTATGAACAGATTGTGATGTTATTTTTATCTGAGTCTACAATGCTGCCACCTGAATCAAAGTTGTCACCAACCAAAGAAAGCCACTCCCAATAGACTAGAGCATGAATGAAAAAATGCTGGCCAGCCTGAATCACTGCCTGGACTGCTGATGGACAGCTGAGAAGCCAGAACATGCTATTGAAAAGTGAAGACAGACCAAAGAGAAGCCAGGCGATTGCCTCCCTCATGTTCCCAGAGAATCTAAGACTGGCTCACCAGTACCTTCCTGGTCTCCCTGGCAAACACAGAAGACACACAGAGACAGAGAAAGCTGCAAAAGGACTCTTCAAATTCCTTAATATTTAAACAGCTTCAACACATGAGTATATGCTGATAGCCTACGATATGCAATCAGCACACAGTAATTTTATTTCTTGTTTTTGTTTAAAAGTACAAAACCACATTTTAAAAAATTATTTATTTTTATTTTTTTTGGGGGGGGGTGGGGTTTGAGACAGGGTCTCCCTGTAGCCCCAGCTGTCCTGGAACTCACTATGTAGACCAGGCTGGCCGTGAACTCACAGAGATCTGCCTGCCTCTGCCTCCCAAGTGCTGGGATTAAAGGCCTACGCTACCGTGCCCGGCTATTTATTATTTTTTTTAAGTGTATGAGTGTATTGTCTGTATGTGTGTAAGTGCACCCATGTTCTGCAGTGCCCAAGGAGCTCAGAAGAGGGTGTCAGATCCCCTGGAACTGGAGTTATGGACATTTGTTTGCTGCCATGTGGGTGCTGGGAATCGAACCTGGATCCTCTGCAAGAGCAGTCCATGCTCTTAACTGCTAAGCCATCTCTCCAGCTCTCCACAAAACCACATATTTAACTCAGAACGCTTGAAACTGCATAACTTCAATAGGAAAGTTACCCCTTCAAGACCTCCCTGGGAGAAATAACTCAGATTATCGAGCAAGGTATAATCATTTTACATGTAGATGGTATAACTCTATAAGCAATACAGTTATACCCTAAAGTCTACCATTAGTTTCAGTTTTACTGAGGTAATAGAAAAATCCAATGCCATATTTTAAGACCTAATAATGTACATAGGACGGGTATGCAGCTGGTAAAACACCTGTCTACAATAGGGGATGCTAAATAAAGGAATAAATATAATCAGCAATGGGTGCTAACATCGAAAAATTCCCTCTCAATTATTAACCTGATTATGCAAAAAATAAAAAGAATATAAATCACAGAAAAATAATTTACAAATTAACTGATTAGCTTATATATATACTGTAGACAGACTCCTACTTTCTTTGTTTAAAGCATTATTCCTCCATTGAAGAAAATGACTCTTTGTTTGCTGACATCTCACTACATAGCACTGGCTGGCCTGGAACTCACTATGTAGACCAGGCTGTCTTGGAACTCACAGAGCTCCATCCTGCCTCTGCCTCTGGAGTGCTAGAATTAAAGGCATGTGCTACCACACCACACAAGAAAATGACTTAATAAAAATGAAAATGAAAACGTGTAAGGGGAAATTTTAATTTTCCAAAGACTTTAAGAGGGTCAGCATTATCTGCCAGCTTCCCCCAAATAATATTTAGACCTTATAAGTTATGGATAAACATTACTTACCCACCCTTGTCATTATATTTTCCAATTATTTATTCTATTAATGCATATAACTTAATTCACTCAAGAGAAATTTTTAGTTCACTAAAACTGGTGCTTAGAATAAATTAATAAAATTAGTTTTAAGTTAAATAGGCAGAGATTTCTACTTGTAATTCAGTAGCTTTTCAACTACACTAAATGTAAAACTTAAATGCCACAACTATAATAGCTATATAGAAAAGTATGGCCATCCATTTAAAAGTGCAGACTACCACCTCTGAGACACTGGCCTAATCTAGTTTCTAGCTTCTGTGATCCCCCTGCCTCAGCTTCATGAGGAGCCTGGTCTACAGGCACACACCACCATACGTAGTCAAAGCCCAGTATTCTTGGCCTAGTGACAGACCAAAGGAAAACTTTTCTTAAGTCTGTGGTTCAAATTTGGAAGAGGAAAAAGATACTAAATCTGAAGTCTAACCTGAAGTAACCTTAAAACAGCACTTAAATTAGAAATGGTTAAGATTCTAACCTGAAGCTAATCTCCAAGAAACTCTGGAAAACAAGAAACTAATTGAGGAAAATGCAAAAAAGGAGCAAACAAGTGAACAGTCAGCAAAGTTA